ATAGTTACATACTACTTTTCCCCCAGAGGTGATTACTTTTACATCACATGAACTGCACAGAATTCCTCTATACTGAGTACCATATCGCTCATCTTTTCTTCAAGGAAAGGAGCTGGAATGGAGTTGAATGAGGCTTCATGTGGCCCCTGCTCCAGATTAAATCCCTGGATCTGGGGATGATGGCCAATCAGCATTCCCCCCCCCCTCAACTGGCCAATAGGTGCTAGACACATCTCGGGGGAAGGAGCTACTTGGTGTCACTCAGTGAGTGTCTCCCTCCCTCACTGCTAAGGTGTCCCCTTCCACTGCTAGCCCCATCAAGTTCACCCTCCCTATTGAGGCAAGTAGGTGGCTCCCCCCTGCCCACAGATCTCAAATGCTTTACAATTAATTTTTTAACAATCTGGTAAGAATGGAAGTATTATCCCCATCTTACAAATGAAGAAATGGAAATTCACAGTGTTTAAAATTACTTGCCCAGTATAACACAGGAAGTCTCTGGAAGGGCCAATTACCCTTCATATTATTTATCATACACATGAAAAAAAAAACCCACCCTATGGACGCAGTTTTTCAGAACTGCACATGCATTCACCAGATCTTAGTGCTTAACTGCAGTAAGTTGTTGCAGAAGTTGGAAGGTGTGTAGTGAATGAAGAAGGGGACTGAACAGGCAACCTTAATTCTTGTATTTCTTCATTTCTGAGTGTTTGATTTTCAAAATTTAACATTCTTTTAATGTAGTTTGTGTTTTGATATGTAATATTAATTGATATGATGGATTCATACATATATAGTGCCATCAAATTGTGCAATGTATGAGACTCTGATCTTATTGTTAACCTACTATGTTTCCTCCTACTGTTTATCACACTCACTCCTGACACCTTGCTTCAAAATTAGACTGTATACTCTTGGGGCAGACATTGTGTCTACCTGTGTGTTTGTACAGCTCCTAGCACAATGAAATCCTAATCCTTACGTGGGCCTTTGGACATGATCACAACGCCAAAAAAAATAAATCAGAAAATAATAAATATACATACTCCTGTCCCTTGTAAGTGAATGTAGTGCTGATGAAAGATTAATAATCCTAAAAACTGAAGTTCTCCACCACAGAATAGGCATACAATCACTGCTGGCGGAGGGACCACCATTCTAAAGGATATTTCAGTCCTTTGCCCATTTAATCTTTGGCCTCTAAGATGTTTAACAAGTGTGTCAAGTGGTGACAATTGTGTGGATAGTTTTCGCAATGTATACACTTTCATTTTAGGAATCAGACTAAGACTACCACCTTATTTTACAGGCTACTGAACAGTCTTCAGATAAGTAGTGACACAACAATATTTGTGCAGGCAATAACTAAACTGATTACTCAAGACTGCTTGCAGTGGTGTTGTAACCATGTTGTCTCTACTATCCTGGGACCAAGGTGGGTAATATCTTTTATTGTTATTAAACAAAAATTCTGCTGGTGAAAGAGATGAGCTTTTGAGCTACACAGAGCTCTTCAGGTTGAATTATACTTATATATACACACACAACTAAATTATACACAGCTAAGAAATGTAATCAGTTATTTTTACAATCTAGCATATAACCTACTCTAACCAACAAAAGATATTTTAACCAATTAGCAGGCTTAATTCATCAGAATATTAGGATCCAAGTTTATAGTACCTAGTGCAGGCTAGTTTTAATAAAAACTGCAATGTTTGAGCTTGTCTGGAGGGAGAAACTTGTCTGGAGGGAGAAACTTATGACTATTATTTATTCAAAAGTATGAACTTATGACTGACTATTATTATTCAAAAGTGATTAGTGATTCTGAGTCCCTCCGTTTTTGGATGCCCGATCTGAGATACCTTTAAAGGGGCCTGATTTTCAGAGAGTATATATTCACTATATTTTGAAAATCAATCTCACTTAAGATGTCTGAAGTAGAAGTCCCAAAAATGGAGGTACCCAAAATCACTAGTCACTTTTGAAAATGTTGTCCATATTATCCTAAACAGACTAGGCACTTGAAAGACATAGAAGACTACAAGGAACCCTGACTTGAAGAGCTTAAAATCTAAATACAGACAAAAGGTGAAGGGCGAGAGGAAGGAATATAAAAGCATGAATGCTTGGCATACATCTTTAATTCTATTTTGCATAGTTTAGTATTTTTACAAAACGTTTGTTTATATGGAATTTCAATTTATAATCTGACTCTGTTGGTCTGTGCTTTTAGGGAATGATAAATGTCTTAGAAATAGGTGTTACCTGGACAGACAATGTTTGTAAATAAGACGTTAGATCACTTCATGCTTGCAGAAGCTTAGAATCCACAAGAGGAGTCAGAAATTGATATCAAAGTCCTGAGGAGAAGATTCTAGAAAGAGTTTTGAAGCAGTTAGAGGGACACTGGCAGTTAGACACAACTCATCAGGTAGGCCATTAACCAGCCTGAGAAGATGAAAATTTCCATTTTGGCAACTGTAAAACTATGTCAAATAACTGAAAATCATCATCTATTTTTTGTATTAAAATATTCCCATCTCTCTGACAATCCTTTAAAATTAAGAACTGACAGTAATAAATGATGAATAAAGACTAAGATTGAGGAAATATTCCAACACGCAGAAACCAAGGTCCAAAACACCAGGGCTACAATATAATGCAGTATGTCACCCAAAAGGCTTAAAGTGACTTTTTTCTGGAGTTATGATAACTGAACTGTATTAGTGCAATTACAGAATAACACACATTTACTCAAAGCAATGCCACATAAAACAAGAATGTGAGTTGCAATCCTGCTTCTTACAAGCTTCAGGTGTGTTGTGAGCAACAGACAAACTAGACAGCTGCTTTATTCTATGTAGAAGTGAGAACATATCCTTTGCGCACAGTAATTCAGCTTTTATTTCAGCCAAAGTTTGGCGGTATCAATTCCCTCTGGAATTAGTCATTCCAAAATACTTGCTAAATTTCAGTTTAAGGATATTATTGGTTACTGAATAATGTGCTTAAAGTCAGATTATTTTTAGCTTTTAAAATAAGCAGAAGAGTTATATTTAACTAATTTTTGATGTCTAAGTTCCTGTTTGTCAAAACACTGAGCAACTGCATGCAGTACAAAGTAAATATAACATCATTACTGATAAAATCTGCAGATGACAAAGATTGGCAGAGTATTAAATAAGATGAGGAGACACAGTCATACAGAGCGATCTGGATTGTGCATTAATTCAGCCAAATGCCAAGTTATACATCTAGGAACAGAGAATAAGGCCATTCCTACAGAATGGGGAACTACATCCTGGAAAAGAGTGACTCTCAAAAAATCAAGGGGTCAGACTGCACAAGATATTGGCCTGTGACATACAAGTCCCTTCTGGCCTTAAACTCTAATTTATTCATAGAGCCCAATTTAACAGCAGTGCTTACCTGATGTATGGTTCCATCAATTTCAACAGGAACAATGAAGTCAGCATTACTAATTGGCTAGAAAGAATGACAACAAAGTAAGGTAATATTTTCAAAAAACAAGTGTAAATACCATTACAGGGGGAGCTTTTCAAAGGCACGAACAGCAGTCAGGCTCCTAATTTCTACCAAAACTCCAAATATGAGCCTTTGAAAATCTCTCCCCCACAGTGAATATAAAAAGCTGGAAAAATTGCCTATTTTGATATTGAAAAGTAAAAACTTCATAGAGTATAGATTGAATAATACACTTCACAGCAATTTTTCAGTATTCCTAAACTCAGATTTTGCATAGGGCCTGGGATTGTTTTACATAACGATGGTGAGAGAATGCAAAGTATGTCCCGGATTCAATAGTTTGATTTTAATATTTGTTTCTATTGCCTCATGATGGGGATTTGTCCTTACACTACTGAACTACCATTTCTGATGATGCTCTCCCCCTCATTCTAAAACACCCTTCCCTTCCCCCATCCTTCAGGTGTTCACGCTGCTCAAATATGCTGAGGAAGTAAACACGGAAAATGAGAAATATTCCCTCAGGAAGCTGTCTTCAAAAAGGAGCACACACACAAAAAAAGTTTATCTCTAGTTGCTGCTAAACACAAGCATCTACAGCTATTTCATTGCAAAATTACTGTTATGTATTTTTAAAGTATATTAATGCCTTTTATGTAATGTCTTTCATATTGGAGGGCCTCAACATATTTTTATGCTATCACACACAACCTCCCCACTTAAAAGCAGCCAACCCCTGGGGTAGAATACACCTCTACCTCGATATAACGCTGTCCTCGGGAGCCAAAAAATCTTACTGCGTTATAGGTGAAACCGCGTTATATCGAACTTGCTTTGATCCACCAGAGTGTGCAGCCCCCTTCCCCACCCCCGGAGCACTGCTTTACCGCGTTCTATCTGAATTAGTGTTATATCGGGTCGCGTTATATCAAGGTAGCGGTGTATTTGTGAAACAGAGCACACTGCCATAGAGCATTTTAGTGAAGAATACCACAACTAAAGGAAACTGCAGGAGGAATTTAAGTAGTTGGAATTCAATTATTCAAACAGGTAGCTGGCTTGAACATACAGAAATTGTTAACTCAACCCTTGTGAGAATTATCACAAGCTCTTTAGTGACCAGCAGCAGGCAAGGGCCTCATCTCAGATGAAAGGCAGCACAAAGCTCACCAGTACCACTGAGATGCACTGGAAAGAGTGCCAGCTACAGAATAACTACAGCCATTTACTTTAGCATTTGGTTTTCCCCTTACAGACTCCCATTGTCAACTCTGAAAATGAATGCAAGGGAGCACGAAACCTTTTCAGTATGTGCAAACCTCTGCTCTGGTCAAGGGATTTTGGTGATGTCAATTGTTGAGGAGATGATACACTCTTTCAAATGATTTTAAATTAATTGGCTAGAATAACCTGAAGAGAGATACATTTTATTTTCACTAAGGAACCACAGAACTCACAATTTAGGGAGCATTCGGTTAACACTGGTTTTTACATTGTGAATTGATACTGATTTCCTGCTACTTTTGTGGATGCCGTGCATCCTTTCTTCATTCCCCGCCCCCCCCCTTGCTATTTTGGCCTCCCTCTGTAAATAATTTAATAGCTTTACAAAAAATGAGTATTTTTTCCCTCAAGAGCTCAAATGAGCTTCTACCTTGATAGAACACTAAGAAAATTCCCAAGTATAACTTCAGGAGTGACCACAAAAGTCAGGGATTTGGCACTGAAGTCTGTAACAGTTTATAAATCTATACAATCCTACAATTTCAGCCTGACTTTGTATCATGAGTGTATGCATAACCATATATCCATATAAGGTCTTTTTAAAGTCAACCAAGAAAAATTGTTTCCAGATTCAGACCACTAATGAACTATGGTTTACAACATCAAGTGTCTGGCAACTGAATATTTACTAGGATTAAAATAAAAGATTTATGTTTGTAATGAAAAATATAGTATAACCAAAATTAGAAGTACTACAAAGTTACTGGCACTTGCTCCTGGTAAGGAAACATACTAGTGGTGCTTAAAGATCTTCCTATAAAGCAAGATGTTTTATAATGCCTCAGATTTGCAGAACATGAAGGATGATCTAATTTCTGAGCCAATTTGAAACGGTCACTGCTCCTGTTCTAATGCTACATCCTACCTGAACAACAAACACACTCCAGGACAGAAATTTTTAAAGCTCTTCAAAATTCTGCTTCAAAATGACTGACTCACCAGCAATAGCCATACACCACCCACCTTCCTGTAATGGAGGCTGAATACGTAATATGCTGACTAGAGTAGAGGTGGTGACAAACTTATTTACTTAACCCCATGATATTGGGAGCAATCTTTTCTGGCACAGAACACAGTTCTTACTGGCACCAAGGATTTATTAATGTAATATTCACAATCTCTTCTAGCAGAATTATACACCCACCTAGCATACAGAGGCCATGAAATTCCATTTTCCACAGCTATGATTTCTAGACTCAACTGCAGCAGAATTTACATTTCAGAAAATGAAAGTCAGTTTTTCAGGACAGCAAGTTCTACATATGTTAAATACTGAACCCTGCTGGAATATTTAGCTACTGAAGTGACAGGACTGAGTGATCATTCAGTTAATGTCTTATTTCCCTAGAGACAGGCCTTTCTCTTGCAACAAGAAGTAGTCATTACTTTATCATTGGTCATTCTATCCTCCTTGTCCCCCACCACAACCAAAAAACAGGAAAATAATTGTAGGAACTGGACGATGGAACAGCTCCCAAAGGGGGCAGTGTATTTGTCGTCTCTGGAGAGAGATTACACAACAGGTTTATCCGGAATGACAAACTAACTTTGAAAACTTTTTTGCAACAATGCATAGTGATGGAGATGACTGAAAAGGCTCCTTTCAAGGTCTATCTGTTGGGAGGGAGGGGAAGGAAACAAACAAAAAAACACCACCACCCTATAAGGAAATGGTCTAACAGGGCACCTTTTTTCTATGAAGAGAGGTCTATATTGAATCAAGAAAATGATCCAATTACCAGAACATTCATGGGTGGCTTGTAAAACTAGTTAATATATTAAGAAAATTACTGTCTATATCATGTTCACTAACATTCATATGATCAAGTAGCAAAGACCACTTGAGAGTATATTTACCTTAAATGAACTGTGTACTAATGTTTCATCTAAATCGATGACCACACATTTCTTCCCATAATCCAATACTGTCAGTTCTGGCAGGAGGTATTTAGCTGGTGGCTAAAGAAAAAAAACAGCACAATGAAAAATGTAAATTTTTGCACATTAACCAGAGGTGCACACTCCCAGCACTACTCACTAGCAGTTAGCAACAGGAAGTCACATATGTACAAGTCATAAGGTTGAATAGGTTTTTTCCTGCCAGTTTACAATACACAGCTGGAAATGAAAGCTCTCATGCAATACACAAACTGCTTTCTGTATTTTTATTTCTTGAATGAATATCAAATGCTTTGGAGATGAATTTAAGCAATATAGATGAACGTAGCAAAACAATTTTGGTAGCTAAAGTCAGTGGTAGAAACGGGTCAATTAGTAAGACTCACCTTTACTGATCTGCTTTCTCATGCCTCAGAATATGGGCTAGACAGCTGAAGTTTCATCTTGCTCTCCATTTCAGAGTCCAAAGCAGCAACTGGAAGCATAAACTTCTGGCCACAGCATGCATGGATGACTGTGAAACTTACATAAATTAATGCTTCCATTTGCCACAGTGCACACTGATATGAAGTAACTGAATGGCAAGCCCCAATTCTGAAGTCAAATGAGATTACAGTGATGGTCATTTACAGAACGGGGCTCTGAACTATTTCTAGTCAAGTGTTGAATTTAATTCTTTTGCATGGATTACATGTTCAGAATCACAAGAATAAAAATGCAGTACATGAAAGTTCCATCAAACTTAGCTCTGTTATAGCCAGTACCCATTACAAAGTTGGGACTCAAAATATAATGGGGAGCTCCACAAACTTCCTCCTGCAGCAGTCTATAAATGGTGCAATATCTTGGGGAACACAGACTTCAGCTGGGTGAGGAGAAGGTAGAGTGGGCACAGTTTTTGGGCCCACTGCCTGACCTAGCATCCTGAGTTGCAACATTCGTTGTATTCTTCTTTGACTTTGGTACCAGGTGTCATCATTTACCACAGCAGCACTATGAAGGAACTGGAAGGGGAGGATGCATCTTTTGGATGCTTAAAGAAGCTGAGATACTGCTACACTGCCACACTCTTAAGGGCGTCTTTAATGTTTAAATGAATGGGTTAGTTCTAAAAGGGAGGGAAAATTGGGGTTAGGTATAAAGTGCGGAGATGTTCAATATGGATAGGAAATTAAATATTTTAATGGGTTAAAGCCCATGGGTAGGGGGTTAAAAACAATACTGAAATCACAATAGGATGGGGGGAGGGGGGATGCCACCAACCCCAGTGTTTTAACTTTCCTCTCCTTTTGCATATACACCTCTACCCCAATGTAATGCGACCCGATATAAGGCGGGTTCGCATACAAGGCGGTAAAGCTCTGACACGCTGCTCTGAGCAGCGTGTTAAGGGTGCCAGGCCAGGCTGGGGGGGTTCGATAAGAGGCAGAGGATCTTGAGGGCTGTCAGGGGCTCCCCCCCACAGGGTCTGGGGGGCAGGAGCTGTGGGAGGGCACTTTTGGGGGCCCCGCAGTCCCAGAGTGGCCCGGGGGATTAGCGGGGGGCCGGGAGCAGCCCGCTCTGCTTCCCTCGCCCCGGCCCCAGCCGTGTTGCTCGGGGGAGGGGGCTTGAGCAAGGGATCCCCCCACCCCCCCGCACTCACCAAGAGCAGCGGAAGCGGAGCAGCCCGGCCCCAGCCCGCTCCACTCCACCAACTCCCAGCTGCAGCGCTCTGCTTCCCGCCGCAGGCGAGTATGGGGGGCGTCCTTTCCCCAACCTCT